ATTCTGAGTTGATTCTGAGTTGATTCTGAGTTGATTCTGAGCTGATTCTGAGTTGATTCTGAGCTGATTCTGAGTTGATTCTGGGTTGATTCTGAGTTGATTCTGAGTTGATTCTGGGTTGATTCTGAGTTGATTCTGAGTTGATTCTGAGTTGATTCTGAGTTGATTCTGAGTTGATTCTGAGTTGATTGATTCTGAGTTGATTCTGAGTTGATTCTGAGTTGATTCTGACTTGATTCTGAGTTGATTCTGGGTTGATTCTGAGTTGATTTTGAGTTGATTCTGAGTTGATTCTGAGCTGATTCTGAGTTGATTCTGAGTTGATTCTGAGTTGATTCTGAGCTGATTCTGAGTTGATTCTGGGTTGATTCTGAGTTGATTCTGAGTTGATTCTGGGTTGATTCTGAGTTGATTCTGGGTTGATTCTGAGTTGATTCTGAGTTGATTATGAGTTGATTCTGAGTTGATTCTGAGTTGATTCTGGGTTGATTCTGGGTTGATTCTGAGTTGATTCTGAGTTGATTCTGAGTTGATTCTGAGTTGATTCTGAGTTGATTCTGAGTTGATTCTGAGTTGATTGATTCTGAGTTGATTCTGAGTTGATTCTGAGCTGATTCTGAGTTGATTCTGAGCTGATTCTGAGTTGATTCTGAGTTGATTCTGAGTCGATTCTGAGTTTATTCTGAGTTGATTCTGAGTTGATTCTGAGTTGATTGATTCTGAGTTGATTCTGAGTTGATTCTGAGTTGATTTTGAGTTGATTGATTCTGAGTTGATTCTGAGTTGATTCTGAGTTGATTCTGAGTTGATTCTGAGTTGATTCTGAGTTGATTGATTCTGAGTTGATTCTGAGTTGATTCTGAGTTGATTCTGAGCTGATTCTGAGCTGATTCTGAGTTGATTCTGAGCTGATTCTGAGTTGATTCTGAGTTGATTCTGAGTTGATTTTGAGTTGATTTCTGAGTTGATTCTCAGTTGATTCTGAGCTGATTCTGAGTTGATTCTGAGTTAATTCTGAGCTGATTCTGAGTTGATTCTGAGCTGATTCTGACTTGATTCTGACTTGATTCTGAGTTGATTCTGAGTTGATTCTGAGTTGATTCTGAGTTGATTATGAGTTGATTATGAGTTGATTCTGAGTTGATTCTGAGTTGATTCTGGATTGATTCTGAGTTGATTCTGAGTTGATTCTGGGTTGATTCTGAGTTGATTCTGAGTTGATTCTGAGTTGATTCTGGGTTGATTCTGAGTTGATTCTGAGTTGATTCTGAGTTAATTCTGAGTTGATTCTGAGTTGATTCTGGGTTGATTCTGAGTTGATTCTGAGTTGATTCTGAGTTGATTCTGAGTTGATTCTGAGTTGATTCTGAGTTGATTCTGGGTTGATTCTGGGTTGATTCTGAGTTGATTCTGGGTTGATTCTGAGTTGATTCTGAGTTGATTCTGAGTTAATTCTGAGTTGATTCTGAGTTGATTCTGAGTTGATTCTGAGTTGATTATGAGTTGATTATGAGTTGATTCTGAGTTTATTCTGATTTGATTCTGAGTTGATTCTGAGTTGATTCTGAGTTGATTCTGAGTTGATTCTGAGTTGATTCTGGGTTGATTCTGAGTTGATTCTGAGTTGATTCTGAGTTGATTCTGGGTTGATTCTGAGTTGATTCTGGGTTGATTCTGAGTTGATTCTGAGTTGATTCTGAGTTGATTCTGAGTTGATTCTGAGTTGATTCTGGGTTGATTCTGAGTTGATTCTGAGTTGATTCTGAGTTGATTCTGAGTTGATTCTGAGTTGATTCTGGGTTGATTCTGAGTTGATTCTGAGTTGATTCTGAGTTTATTCTGAGTCGATTCTGAGTTGATTCTGAGTTCATTCTGAGTTCATTCTGAGTTGATTCTGAGTTGATTCTGAGTTGATTATTAGTTGATTCTGAGTTGATTCTGAGTTGATTCTGGGTTGATTCTGAGTTGATTCTGAGTTGATTCTGAGTTGATTCTGAGTTGATTCTGAGTTGATTCTGAGTTGATTCTGAGTTGATTCTGGGTTGATTCTGAGTTGATTCTGGGTTGATTCTGACTGTGGTGAAGATTCTGGGATTGGGACGAAGGCATTGAGTCTGATTTCAAGAACTGTGGCTTTATTTCCTCATTCCAACGGAGACATGTCTGTATCTTTTTAAATCATTTATCATTGTCCCGTTGGGGAATCTGAAGAAAGGCTCGGTCTGAAAGAAGTGAAGAAGCATTTTGCCAAATTTGAGCAATGTTTAACTAATTTTTCATCACTTTTTGTAGTGAATGTTCTGAAGAAGTTTTTCTCAAATATTAGGAGAAAGTAGGTTTTTGAGTAGAGTAGAGTAGAGTAGAGTACATTAGAGTAGAGTAGAGTAGAGTACATTAGAGTAGAGTAGAGTACAGCAGAGCAGAGTAGAGTAGAGTACATTAGAGTAGAGTAGAGTACATTAGAGTAGAGTAGAGTAGAGTACATTAGAGTAGAGTAGAGTACAGCAGAGCAGAGTAGAGTAGAGTACAGCAGAGTAGAGTAGGGTAGGGTAGGGTAGGGTAGAGTAGAGTAGGGTAGGGTAGGGTAGGGTAGAGTAGAGTACAGCAGAGCAGAGTAGGGTAGGGTAGGGTAGAGTAGAGTAGGGTAGGGTAGGGTAGAGTAGGGTAGAGTAGAGTAGGGTAGGGTAGATTAGAGTAGGGTAGAGTAGAGTACAGCAGAGTAGAGTAGGGTAGAGTAGAGTAGGGTAGGGTAGGGTAGGGTAGAGTAGAGTAGGGTAGAATACAGCAGAGCAGAGTAGGGTAGAGTAGAGTAGAGTAGGGTAGGGTAGGGTAGAGTAGAGTAGGGTAGGGTAGGGTAGAGTAGAGTAGAGTAGGGTAGAGTGGGGTAGAGTACAGCAGAGCAGAGTAGGGTAGAGTAGGGTAGGGTAGGGTAGAGTAGAGTAGAGTAGAGTAGAGTAGGGTAGGGTAGAGTAGGGTAGGGTAGGGTAGAGTAGAGTAGGGTAGGGTAGAGTAGGGTAGAGTAGAGTAGAGTAGTGTAGAGTACAGCAGAGCAGAGTAGGGTAGAGTACAGCAGAGCAGAGTAGGGTAGAGTAGAGTAGAGTAGAGTAGTGTAGAGTACAGCAGAGCAGAGTAGAGGAGAGTAGAGTAGGGTAGAGTAGAGTAGTGTAGAGTACAGCAGAGCAGAGTAGGGTAGAGTACAGCAGAGCAGAGTAGGGTAGAGTAGAGTAGAGTAGAGTAGAGTAGAGTAGAGTAGAGTAGAGTAGTAGGGTAGGGTAGGGTAGTAGAATAGAGTAGAGTAGAGTAGAGTAGAGTAGGGTAGAGTAGAGTAGAGTAGAGTAGGGTAGAGTAGAGTAGAGTAGAGTAGGGTAGAGTAGAGTAGGGTAGAGTAGAGTAGAGTAGAGTAGGGTAGAGTAGAGTAGAGTAGAGTAGAGTAGAGTAGGGTAGAGTAGAGTAGAGTAGAGTAGGGTAGAGTAGAGTAGAGTAGAGTAGGGTAGAGTAGAGTAGAGTAGAGTAGAGTAGAGTAGAGTAGAGTAGAGTAGAGTAGAGTAGAGTAGAGTAGATAAACTGGACTCTCTTCTTGTACTCCATGATCAGACTTTAGTGCAGTGAAGATCTGAGGCTGTGTTTTCCGCTGCTCTGGTTCATGCAGATCTGAGCTGATGGTCCGCGGTCGATGGTTTGATGCATGAGCTCAGTCTGACGCAGACTGGTTAGTGTCGCTGGTTCCACTGATCCATCACCGTCTGAGAACCATCGTTAATCTTCATCGAGGCGCAATTAAACACAAATGTCATGGAAGCTGGAATCTAACAATCCATGTAACTAGGTCAGGTCTCTCTCTCTCAGGTCTCTCTCTCTCTAGTATCTCTCTCTCTGGGGTGTCTTTCTGGTATCCATCTCTCTCTCTCTCTGGACTCCCTCTGGTCTCTCTCTCTCTCTGGTCACTCTTTGGTCTATCTCCTTCTGGTATCTCTCTCTGGTCTATCTCACTCTAGTCTCTCTTTCTGGTCTCTCTTTCTTTGGTCTTTTTCTCTCTTTTTGGTTTCTCTCTCTCTTTGGTCTCTCTCTCTCCCTGGTCTCTCTCTTTGGTCTCTCTCTCTCCCTGGTCTCTCTCTTTGGTCTCTCTTTCTCTTTGGTCTCTCTCTGGTCTCTCTTTCTGGTCTCTCTTTCTTTGGTCTTTTTCTCTCTTTTTGGTTTCTCTCTCTCTTTGGTCTCTCTCTCTCCCTGGTCTCTCTCTTTGGTCTCTCTCTCTCCCTGGTCTCTCTCTTTGGTCTCTCTCTCTCTTTGGTCTCTCTCTCTCCCTGGTCTCTCTCTCTTTGGTCTCTCTCGCTCTTTGGTCTCTCTCTGGTCTCTCCCTGGTCTCTCTCTTTGGTCTCTCTCTCTCTTTGGTCTCTCTCTGGTCTCTCTCTCTTTGGTCTCTCTCTCCCTGGTCTCTCTCTCTTTGGTCTCTCTCTGGTCTCTCTCTCTTCGGTCTCTCTCTCCCTGGTCTCTCTCTCTTCGGTCTCTCTCTCCCTGGTCTCTCTCTCTTTGGTCTCTCTCTCCCTGGTCTCTCTCTCTTTGGTCTCTCTCTCTCTCTGGTCTCTCTCTCTTTGGTCTCTCTCTCCCTGGTCTCTCTCTCTTTGGTCTCTCTCTGGTCTCTCTCTCTTTGGTCTCTCTCTTTGGTCTCTCTCTGGTCTCTCTCTCTCTGGTCTCTCTCTCCCTGGTCTCTCTCTCTTTGGTCTCTCTCTGGTATCTCTCTCTTTGGTCTCTCTCTTTGGTCTCTCTCTTTGGTCTCTCTCTGGTCTCTCTCTGGTCTCTCCCTGGTCTCTCTCTGGTCTCTCCCTGGTCTCTCTCTCCCTGGTCTCTCTCTCTCTGGTCTCTCTTTGGTCTGTCTCTCCCTGGTCTCTCTCTCTCTGGTCTCTCTCATCAGTTTGCATGCTACTCCATCCTTTCAGATGTTTGTATTTGAATCTGGCGCCCTGAGGGTCACCTGATCCTCGACAAAAGCCACGCGCCGCACAATGGGCCGACACCAGAGGAGTGCGCCGCACAATGGGCCGACACCAGAGGCCGACACCCGAGGAGTGCGCCCGTTTGAACCCGATCGTCACGGAAACAAAGCGCTCAAGTCGGGTTCATGGAGGACCACGCCCAGAGAGGCACATTCAGAGAAGCTACCGACTCTGCCGGCGCCACAGATGGACGACGGCCTCGCAACGGACTCGCCACAAAAGACTTTATGTGAGTCACAGACCACAGGGTCCACCCGGCCCAACGGAACCAGACCACAGGGTCCACCCGGTCCAACGGAACCAGACCACAGGGTCCACCCGGCCCAACGGAACCAGACCACAGGGTCCACCCGGTCCAACGGAACCAGACCACAGGGTCCACCCGGTCCAACGGAACCAGACCACAGGGTCCACCCGGTCCAACGGAACCAGACCACAGGGTCCACCCGGCCCAACGGAACCAGACCACAGGGTTCACCCGGTCCAACGGAACCAGACCACAGGGTTCACCCGGTCCAACGGAACCAGACCACAGGGTTCACCCGGTCCCACGGAACCAGACCACAGGGTTCACCCGGTCCCACGGAACCAGACCACAGGGTTCACCCACCCGGTCCAACGGAACCAGACCACAGGGTCCACCCAGGGTCCACCCGGTCCAACGGAACCAGACCACAGGGTCCACCCGGTCCAACGGAACCAGACCACAGGGTCCACCCGGTCCAACGGAACCAGACCACAGGGTCCACCCGGTCCAACGGAACCAGACCACAGGGTCCACCCGGCCCAACGGAACCAGACCACAGGGTCCACCCGGTCCAACGGAACCAGACCACAGGGTCCACCCGGTCCAACGGAACCAGACCACAGGGTTCACCCGGTCCAACGGAACCAGACCACAGGGTTCAGCTCCACCCGGTCCCACGGAACCAGACCACAGGGTTCAGCTCCACCCGGTCCAACGGAACCAGACCCGGCTGTGTTTGTCCGAGTCGGTTTGTCTGATTGGGGCAGACATCTTGGAGAGACCAGGGGCAGACATCTTGGAGAGACCAGAGGTAGACATCTTGGAGAGACCAGGGCAGACATCTTGGAGAGACTAGGGGCAGACATCTTGGAGAGACCAGAGGTAGACATCTTGGAGAGACCAGGGCAGACATCTTGGAGAGACCAGGGGCAGACATCTTGGAGAGACCAGAGGTAGACATCTTGGAGAGACCAGGGCAGACATCTTGGAGAGACCAGGGGCAGACATCTTGGAGAGACCAGGGGCAGACATCTTGGTGAGACCAGAGGCAGACATCTTGGTGAGACCAGGGACAGACATCTATGGTTTCTGGGAGACCTATGGTACAGTGGAACCATCAAAGCCAACATAGTGGGCCCAGAGGCAGCAGTGGGTGCAGTGGAGCGCGCTCAGATGATGCGACAGGACGGCTGTGAACACGGAGATACTGCAGGTGCCGCGGTGGAGCTCTCGGCAGCAGGGGTCAGAGGTCGTCAGCGAGAGGCCTTGTTCTGCAGCTGACCCTCAACTACACTAACACCACACACAATAGAGCGACACACAACTACACTGACACCACAACACACACACAATAGAGGAACACATGTAGCAATTAAGCCTTTTGTGTCTACAGCAGAACAGTTCTATTGCACTGGTAAAAGTATTAGTATAAAAGTATAAGTATGGTATGTAGTAAAAGTAAAGTGTGTAGTATAAGTATAGTTTGTAGTATAAGACCATTTAAAGAATACAGATATGTTTTACTGTATTATGCAAAATATATAGATTTTATACTATGCTGAAGTGAGAGATCTCTGTCTGCTCTCTCTCTCTTTGGTCTCTCTCTCTCTCCCTCTGTTCTCCTGTTGGTCTCATTCTGGTCTGAGCTTCTTGCCTCTCTCTCAGATCTCTCTCTGGTCTCTCTCTTTGGTCTCTCAGATCTCTCTCTGGTCTCTCTCTTTGGTCTCTCAGATCTCTCTCTGGTCTCTCTCTCTCTCTGGTCTCTCACTCTCTCTGGTCTCTCTCTCTCTTTGGTCTCTCTCTCTCTTTGGTCTCTCTCTGGTCTCTCACTCTCTCAGTTCTCTCACTCTCTTTGGTCTCTCTCTCTCTTTGGTCTCTCTCTCTCTTTGGTCTCTCTCTCTCTTTGGTCTCTCTCTCTCTTTGGTCTCTCACTCTCTTTGGTCTCTCTCTCTCTCTTTGGTCTCTCACTCTCTTTGGTCTCTCACTCTCTTTGGTCTCTCTCTGGTCTCTCACTCTCTTTGGTCTCTCGCTGGTCTCTCTCTCTCTTTGGTCTCTCACTCTCTTTGGTCTCTCTCTCTCTCTTTGGTCTCTCACTCTCTCTGGTCTCTCTCTCTCTCTGGTCTCTCACTCTCTCTGGTCTCTCACTCTCTCTCTTTGGTCTCTCACTATCTCTGGTCTCTCTCTCTCTCTGGTCTCTCACTCTCTCTGGTCTGGTCTCTCTCTCTCTTTGGTCTCTCACTCTCTCTGGTCTCTCACTCTCTCTCTGGTCTCTCACTCTCTTTGGTCTCTCACTCTCTCTGGTCTGGTCTCTCTCTCTCTCTGGTCTCTCACTCTCTCTGGTCTCTCTCTCTCTCTGGTCTCTCTCTCTCTCTGGTCTCTCACTCTCTCTGGTCTCTCTCTCTCTCTGGTCTCTCTCTCTCTCTGGTCTCTCTCTCTCTTTGGTCTCTCACTCTCTTTGGTCTCTCTCTCTCTCTGGTCTCTCACTCTCTCTGGTCTCTCACTCTCTCTGGTCTCTCTCTCTCTTTGGTCTCTCACTCTCCCTGGTCTCTCACTCTCTCTGTTCTCTCGGCCTCCCTGGTCTCTCTCTTCGGTCCTGCTTGATTCTCTCTTTGTTGTCTCTCTCTCTTCGGTCTCACATTCATCAGCCTTAATGCTCCTCCACCCTGAGTCCTGGTCCTGGTCCTGGTCTCAGAACCATTAAGACCAGGACCTTTGACATAAGTTTGAGTCAATACTGAGCTTAATGCAGTGCACTTCATCGCTGTCGTCTCCGGAGGATTCTGCCTCAGAAGAAACAGGAAGTAAAACCTCTGCTCTGTCTCCGGGTCACTGAGATAGAGCACACACTGAGAGAGAGCGAGAGAGACCAGAGACAGAGCAGAGAGAGAGACCCGCTCTCTCTGGACTCTCTCATTGATCTCTCTCTGGTCTCTCTCTATGGGAGATCTATGGGAAACTCTCAAAGATCTATGGGAAACTCTCAAAGATCTATGAAACTCTCAAAGATCTATGGGAAACTCTCAAAGATCTTTGGGAAACTCTCAAAGATCTATGAAACTCTCAAAGATCTATGGGAAACTCTCAAAGATCTATGGGAAACTCTCAAAGATCTATGGGAAACTCTCAAAGATCTATGAGAAACTCTCAAAGATCTATGGGAAACTCTCAAAGATCTATGGGAAACTCTCAAAGATCTATGAAACTCTCAAAGATCTATGGGAAACTCTCAAAGATCTATGGGAAACTCTCAAAGATCTATGAAACTCTCAAAGATCTATGGGAAACTCTCAAAGATCTATGAAACTCTCAAAGATCTATGGGAAACTCTCAAAGATCTTTGGGAAACTCTCAAAGATCTATGAAACTCTCAAAGATCTATGGGAAACTCTCAAAGATCTATGGGAAACTCTCAAAGATCTATGGAAAACTCTCAAAGATCTATGGAAACTCTCAAAGATCTATGAGAAACTCTCAAAGATCTATGAGAAACTCTCAAAGATCTATGAAACTCTCAAAGATCTATGAAACTCTCAAAGATCTATGGGAAACTCTCAAAGATCTATGAAACTCTCAAAGATCTATGAAACTCTCAAAGATCTATGAAACTCAAAGATCTATGGGAAACTCTCAAAGATCTTTGGGAAACTCTCAAAGATCTATGAGAAACTCTCAAAGATCTATGGGAAACTCTCTAAGATCTATGGGAAACTCTCAAAGATCTATGGGAAACTCTCAAAGATCTTTGGGAAACTCTCAAAGATCTATGGGAAACTCTCAAAGATCTTTGGGAAACTCTCAAAGATCTATGGGAAACTCTCAAAGATCTTTGGGAAACTCTCAAAGATCTTTGGGAAACTCTCAAAGATCTATGGGAAACTCTCAAAGATCTATGGGAAACTCTCAAAGATCTTGGGAAACTCTCAAAGATCTATGAAACTCTCAAAGATCTATGGGAAACTCTCAAAGATCTATGGGAAACTCTCAAAGATCTATGGAAACTCTCAAAGATCTATGGAAACTCTCAAAGATCTATGAGAAACTCTCAAAGATCTATGGGAAACTCTCAAAGATTCTATGAGAAACTCTCAAAGATCTATGGGAAACTCTCAAAGATCTATGAGAAACTCTCAAAGATCTATGGGAAACTCTAATGATCTATGAGAAACTCTCAAAGATCTATGAGAAACTCTCAAAGATCTATGGGAAACCTCTCAAATATCTATGAGAAACTCTCAAAGATCTCTCAAAGATCTATGGGAAACTCTCAAAGATCTATGGGAAACTCTCATGAGGGAAACTCTCAAAGATCTAAAGATCTATGGGAAACTCTCAAAGGGGAAACTCTATGAGAAACTCTCAAAGATCTATGGGAAAAAGATCTCTTAAAGATCTATGGAAACTCTCAAAGATCTATGGGAAACTCTCAAAGATCTATGGGAAACTCTCAAAGATCTATGAGAAACTCTCAAAGATCTATGGGAAACTCTCAAAGATCTATGGGAAACTCTCAAAGATCTATGGGAAACTCTCAAAGATCTATGGGAAACTCTCAAAGATCTATGGGAAACTCTCAAAGATCTATGGGAAACTCTCAAAGATCTATGGGAAACTCTCAAAGATCTATGAGAAACTCTCAAAGATCTATGGGAAACTCTCAAAGATCTATGAGAAACTCTCAAAGATCTATGAGAAACTCTCAAAGATCTATGGGAAACTCTCAAAGATCTATGGGAAACTCTCAAGATCTATGGGAAACTCTCAAAGATCTATGGGAAACTCTCAAAGATCTATGGGAAAACTCTCAAAGATCTATGGGAAACTCTCAAGATCTATGGGAAACTCTCAAAGATCTATGGAAACTCTCAAAGATCTATGGGAAACTCTCAAAGATCTATGGAAACTCTCAAAGATCTATGGGAAACTCTCAAAGATCTATGGGAAACTCTCAAAGATCTATGGGAAACTCTCAAAGATCTATGGGAAACTCTCAAAGATCTATGGGAAACTCTCAAAGATCTATGAGAAACTCTCAAAGATCTATGGGAAACTCTCAAAGATCTATGGAAACTCTCAAAGATCTATGGGAAACTCTCAAAGATCTATGGGAAACTCTCAAAGAACTATGGGAAACTCTCAAAGAACTTTGGGAAACTCTCAAAGATCTATGGGAAACTCTCAAAGATCTATGGGAAACTCTCAAAGATCTAGGGAAACTCTCAAAGATCTATGGGAAACTCTCAAAGATCTATGGGAAACTCTCAAAGATCTATGAGAAACTCTCAAAGATCTATGGGAAACTCTCAAAGATCTATGGGAAACTCTCAAAGATCTATGGGAAACTCTCAAAGATCTCTGGGAAACTCTCAAAGATCTATGGGAAACTCTCAAAGATCTATGGGAAACTCTCAAAGATCTATGGGAAACTCTCAAAGATCTATGAGAAACTCTCAAAGATCTATGAAACTCTCAAAGATCTATGGGAAACTCTCAAAGATCTATGGGAAACTCTCAAAGATCTATGGGAAACTCTCAAAGATCTATGGGAAACTCTCAAAGATCTATGGGAAACTCTCAAAGAACTTTGGGAAACTCTCAAAGATCTATGGGAAACTCTCAAAGATCTATGAGAAACTCTCAAAGATCTATGAGAAACTCTCAAAGATCTATGGGAAACTCTCAAAGATCTATGAGAAACTCTCAAAGATCTATGAGAAACTCTCAAAGATCTATGGGAAACTCTCAAAGATCTTTGGGAAACTCGCCTGTATTTGGGCATCGTCTGGTCCTCCCGGTTCTGTGCAGTGGATGATCTCCCATAATGCATTGTGTCAGATACACGTGTGTGGGTCTCACACCGGGTCTCACGCACGTGCACAGAGGGTCTCACGCACGTGCACAGAGGGTCTCACGCACGTGCACAGAGGGTCTCACGTACGTGCACAGAGGGTCTCATGCACGTGCACAGAGGGGTCTCACGCACGTGCACAGAGGGTCTCATGCACGTGCACAGAGGGTCTCGTCTCTGACCAATCAGAGCAGTTCCTCAGAGCGGGAGTTAGTGTGGATTTAAACAAAACCGAAGGATTTAAGAAGAAAAAAAGTTCAGGACGACAAGGGACACTAACATCCCCACAAAATCTGACCTTTATGAAAGCTGTAGGTTCTCTGTCAGGTTCTCTGTCAGGTTCTCTGTCAGGTTCTCTGTCAGGTTCTCTGTCAGGTTCTCTGTCAGGTTCTCTGTCAGGTTCTCTGTCAGCTGAGGTCGAGCTGTTTTAATTTACATTAAGTTCTATAAGGAACATTTCTGGGTAGCCCACGTGACTGTAGTCTCTGAGTGGCCACAGTCACAGCTCTACCTCAGAGAGAAAGAACAGCAACACTTTAGGGTCAGTCTCAGCTGAATGTATCTAATTACTATAAAACGTCACTAAAACTCACCTAAAAGCCATAGATTAGCATAGACAGGAAGTGAACGGGCTGATCCTTGTTAACAGGAAGTGACGTCACGCCTCACATCTGCATACGGCCCATAAGAATAGCTCGTACATATATAGACAGGCCACGTCATGGAAACTAAAGCACAAGAGGAAGCCTGAAGAAGAAACTAATACAATAATAAAATCTGCACCTTCCTTTTTTGTCTCGTTAGTATAATGTTGCTCTTCTAAAGTAGGTCCAGATATTACATTAATGCATATATATGTTTTTAAACCCACCCAGAGGCAGCCTTTTCACATCAAATATCACTTTATATGGACTTACGCAGAAAAGACTAACTGTAAATGTATTTCTGCAAATGATTGGTTCATATTTAGAATGTTCACAGAATATGGTGCATCGTTATTAAAAACAGAGAAAACAGAATCATAGTTTAAAAGAACAAGACACACACACAGACAAATGTGTGTCTTAAACACATTTGAGAGGAGGGAAGCAGTAAGGCCCAGGGTCCCTCTCTGGGTCCAGACTCTCTCTGGGTCCAGACTCTCTCTGGGTCCAGACTCTCTCCGGGTCCAGACTCTCTCCGGGTCCAGACTCTCGGTCCACTCTCTCCGGGTCCAGACTCTCTCTGGGTCCAGACTCTCTCCGGGTCCAGACTCTCGGTCCACTCTCTCCGGGTCCAGACTCTCGGTCCAGACTCTCTCCGGGTCCTGACTCTCTCCGGGTCCAGACTCTCTCCGGGTCCTGACTCTCTCCGGGTCCTGACTCTCTCGGGTCCAGACTCTCTCCGGGTCCAGACTCTCGGTCCAGACTCTCTCCGGGTCCTGACTCTCTCCGGGTCCAGGCTCTCTCCGGGTTATGACTCTCTCCGGGTCCAGACTCTCTCTGGGTCCAGACTCTCTCCGGGTCTAGACTCTCTCCGGGTCCAGACTCTCTCCGGGTCCAGACTCTCGGTCCAGACTCTCTCGGGTCCAGACTCTCGGTCCAGACTCTCGGTCCTGACTCTCTCCGGGTCCTGACTCTCTCCGGGTCCAGACTCTCTCCGGGTCCAGACTCTCTCCGGGTCCAGACTCTCTCCGGGTCCTGACTCTCTCCGGGTCCAGACTCTCGGTCCAGACTCTCTCCGGGTCCTGACTCTCTCCGGGTCCAGACTCTCTCCGGGTCCTGACTCTCTCCGGTACAGGTACAGGCAGAGAGGGGAGGAGAGGGAGGGAGGATACAATCAGCTGCTGTCAGACTGTACAACGATCAACACGGACTAAAAAACGCTGCCGACCTGAGCTCACATGTCTGTCACTCAGTGATACAGGTTCTTTACAAATGACAGAATATTCTCAGTTTTTAGTTTAATATAATTCAATGTTTCTTTGAACAGTTCTAATCACGACAGTAATGATCTCAGAAGACTTTTCAAAGCTGTCGACTTGTGTGTCTTTGTAGAGACAGAGACAGCGCTGGAATCACCATCAAACATTTTCCATTCCATTTTCTTCCGCTTCATCCGTTGCCGGGTCGCAGGGGGACCAGCAGTCTAAGCAGAGGACTGTTGTTATGTTGAACAGGACAGTATCCAGTATCTAGTTTTGTAATTGGGCGTAAACAAATATTTCACTTCTTCTCGCTCCCTTTCAAAGAGGATTACTTCATTGTAGAAAATATGTAATCTGCATTAGTGTATATTTACTGTAATGTTTAGGATACCACAAGGTTGTGATTAATTTAATTTTTGTTATTGTGTCATGCTCGGAAATAAATGATCAATTCATTCATAACTGAAGGCAGTGGAGACGGCAGCTGGCTACAACCACAGGCCGGACAGAAATATACACGGACAAGGTACACGGACCTGTGACATGGAATTATTATTCCAGGGTTAGGGTTAGGAGAGACGTGATGAACCAGAGTGATGAGAGGACATGGAACAGGTGTTGAGGCCTCACACCTGCTTCAGAGCCACGCCCCCTGCTTCAGAGCCACGCCCCCGCAGCTGGAGTTTAGCTCATATCTGCATTTACAAAGACAACAGCAAAATATACATAATAATAATAATTATTATTATACTGCATCAGTTTTATACAGAGATGGACACTCTAAGATTATTCACTTTATTATTATTTCACTTCAAACATCAGTGTGCCCTGGAGCAGCGAGGCAACCAGTCTGTGCCATCGGCCCCTCCCACCACCACCAACCCTTCACACACGCACCAGACTCATTCTAATGTGGGGGAAGTGTCTTGCCTAAGGAGACAACCACAGTTTGGCACTTTACATGTCTCAATTCATCACAGAACCAACCATTAAGATCCACAAAATACACAAATGTATTGGTCCAGAGGGAGAGACCAATGTCTGTGAATGTTGATACTTGTCATACATGTTGTAGAATGTTAAAGTGTCCTGGATCATCACAGTCCTTCTTGTTAGACACTAACTGTCCAACAGACTCCTGCATCGGCAAGGAAAAACTCTGAAACTCAGGACTCAGACTGTAGAACGAGGACTGAGGCTGTGGATCCAGAACCAAAGCTACAGAACATGGACCAAGGCCGTAGAACGAAGGCAGGTCCGGTGCAGGACTGAAGCAGCTCCAGGCGGGTCGGGGGTGCAGCCCACGAGGCTGAAACAGGTAAAACAGAAAAGAATTGGTCTCCCCTCACAGTATTAACCATGCCCTGCCCTGCTTAGCTTTCAGCTGTAGGTATGGCTCAGGATCAGGTTGAGACCAGGATCATAGAGAGATTTACATCGCCCAAGCTCGAGGCCTGGCTGGTCGTATCACTGCCGACCCCTCTCCCCTCACCCTGCACATGGACTGTTCCAACACTCCCCTCTCACCTGCACATGGACTGTTCCAACCTCTCCCCTCTCACCTGCACATGGACTGTTCCAACACTCCCCTCTCACCTGCACATGGACTGTTCCAACCTCTCCCTCTCACCTGCACATGGACTGTTCCAACACTCCCCTCTCACCTGCACATGGACTGTTCCAACCTCTCCCCTCTCACCTGCACATGGACTGTTCCAACACTCCCCTCTCACCTGCACATGGACTGTTCCAACCTCTCCCCTCTCACCTGCACATGGACTGTTCCAACCTCTCCCCTCTCACCTGCACATGGACTGTTCCAACCACTCCCCTCTCACCTGCACATGGACTGTTCCAACCACTCACCTCGGACAGGAGGCTGCGGTCCATCAGGACCAGAACCTCCCGTCATAAGAACAGTCACTTTACTGCCCTTTATAAGTCACTTTACTGCCCTTTATAAGTCACTTTACTGCCCTTTATAAGTCACTTTACTGCCCTTTATAAGTCACTTTACTGCCCTTTATAAAGTCACTTTACTGCCCTTTATAAGTCACTTACTGCCCTTTATAAGTCACTTACTCCCTTTATAAAGTCACTTTACTGCCCTTTATAAGTCACTTACTGCCCTTTATAAAGTCACTTTATTGCCCTTTATAATTTCACTTTACTGCCCTTTATAAAGTCACTTTACTGCCCTTTATAAAGTCACTTTACTGCCCTTTATAAAGTCACTTTATTGCCCTTTATAATTTCACTTTACTGCCCTTTATAAAGTCACTTTACTGTCCTTTATAAAGTCACTTTACTGCTGTTATCTTATTGCACTGCCTACTGTATATTGTGTGATTGTAATTTAAATGTAGAAGTGTTGCTGGTTTTTATCATGCCTTTCTATTTATTTATTATTTAAATCTTTAAATTAAAATGCTATTGTGTGTTGACTTCCCGCCCCTACTTCCTCATACAGACAAACATGGGACCTGAGGCTGTAGCAGCATATTTTCTCCTCTGCTGTTTCCTGGGAGTTAACGGTGAGATTGTATTTATTTGGTCATTTCCATGAGTTTCCTGCTTCGGTGAAACCTGACTGTGCTCCCAACATCCCTGTGTGTGTGTTTGTGTGTGTGTGTGTGTGTGTGTGTGTGTGTTTAGACAAGTCTCTCCGTGTGCTGCTCTTACCCACTGTGTGTGCACTAACTGTGTGGACTGTTTTGCAAAAGTATATTTACAGATTCAAGATGAATTTATTACGTCTCAGAATAAATGTGTCTTTTACTCACTCAGAGTAAAGTAGAAGTGTCTGAGGTGATGGATAAAAACAAACGTCCTCATGTTCAAAACCATAAACGTGTCCCTGGTGTGACTTCTGGTAGTGTAGAGTACGATGGTAGTTTCCTGTACAGACACTAGTATTGTTGAGACACTGGTCTTTTGCAAAGCTCTGTAAATAACGTGTTTATCTCAAACACATTTATTCTGAGAATGTAAAGCGACCTAAAGCTGGGGTACCTGACTTTTTCATCAGTATTGGTCCCAACACAGAGTCCAGACCTGTACAGGCTGTTTATATTTGACACATGACTCTTCTTCAGATGTTTACGTTCATTATTATTAATGTTTTAACCGTTTTAACCAGAGACATCTGCTCATGTTTTTACAGTCAGAGTCATAAAGAGGCACAGAGCTGAACAAACATCACACTGCAAATATACTACTCTGCTCTGCCCTACCCTACCCTACCCTACCCTACTCTACTCTACTCTACTCGACTCGACCCGACCCGACCCGACCCGACCCGACCCGACCCTACCCTACCCTACCCGACTCGACTCGACTCGACTCGACCCGACCCGACCCGACCCGACCCGACCCGACCCTACCCTACCCTACCTACCCTACCCTACCCGACCCGACCCGACCCGACCGACCCGACCCCGACCCTACCCGACCCGACCCGACCCGACCCGACCCGACCCGACCCTACCCGACCCGACCCGACCCGACCGACCCGACCCGACCCGACCCTACCCTACCCTACCTACCCTACCCTACCCTAATCTACTCTACTCTACTCTACTCTACTCTACTCGACTCGACCCGACCCGACCCGACCCGACCCGACCCTACCCTACCCTACCCTACCCTACCCTACCCGACCCGACCCGACCCGACCGACCCGACCCGACCCGACCCGACCCGACCCGACCCGACCCGACCCGACCCTACCGACCCGACCCGACCCCCGACCCGACCCGACCGACCCCCGACCCTACCCTACCCTACCCTACCCTACCCTACCTAATCTACTCTACTCTACTCTACTCTACTCTACTCTACTCGACCGACCCGACCCGACCCGACCCGACCCGACCCTACCCTACCCGACCCGACCCGACCCGACCCGACCCGACCCGACCCGACCCTACCCTACCCTACCCTACCCTACCCTACCCTACCCTACCCTACCCTACTCTACTCTACCCTACCCTACCCTACCCTACCCTACCCTACCCTACCCTACCCTACTCTACTCTACTCTACTCTACCCTACTCTACTCTACTCTACTCTACTCTACTCTCTTGTGTTTCCATTACACTTTAGTCTCTGGTCCTGTATCCTAGAAACCAACCTACACAAAAAATATCTGGGGAATTTCCCTGGTAACCGTGGCTTCCAGCAGCACTCTGGCCAATCACTGTCAGTTAGAACACTTTAGCACCAGCTCGGCCTGGATAGAACCAGGACCAAGAAGGACCTGGTGCTGGTCACACAGGACCATATGTAGTTACAGGAAGCAGCTTCTTCCTCTTCCTCTTCTCTCTCGGGTAAATGTGACTCCAACCACATATAGCAGAGTAGAGCCCAGCCCAGCACAGTAGAGCCCAGCATTGTGGAGTAGAGTAGATTTGTGCTATTTTCATTATTTATTAATTCTTTACACGGTGGTAATAAACTACTGTAGCCACAGCTGCCCTGGGGCACACTGACAGAAGCGAGGCAACCAGACTGTGCCATCGGCCCCTCCCACCACCACCGACCACTCACACACACACCCAGACTCATTCTAATGTGGGGGAAGTGTCTTGCTTAAGGACACAACCACAGTTTGGCCCCACTGTGGCACCATCAGTGAGAGTCAGAGAAAGTCTTGTTGTGGACTCGAACCAACAACCTTCAGGCTCAAAGGCCAATGCTCTACGTCTGAGCCACTGTCGTCCTGAATATCTCTGTGTTGACATTTCCTGCGACTAGAGCAGAAAGAGTTGAGTTCATGAAATTCTCTGGATCCAAATCTGTTTCTGTGGTTTCACCTAAATATAAAAATGTCAAATAAAAGACATTTTCTGACTGTTTTTATCTCATTTATTCACAGGTATCGACTCAGAGAGATTTATCCAGACCAACAAAGACCTCGTCCTCGATATAAAGCCACCAGACAAAAATGACACATTTGACTGGAAATTTAACCCCAGCAAAAATATAGTGAGATTCATACAAAAATATAGTGATGTAAAAATACATGATAATTATAAAGACAGGGTTCAGTTTTTTCCACAAAATTTCTCTCTGGTTCTAAAAAGTGTCCAGCTCAAAGACAGTGGGAGATACACAGCTGTGTCGTCTGGACACAATGTAAACACACTTGCAACATTTGACGTCTCAGTAGAAGGTGAGTTTCATTTACAACCTGCAAAGTCTAAAGTTGGTGTTTTAGGGAATAATGCACCGGCCGAAGCACATACTACATTTATAGATTTAACCTTGAATCTGTCAGTTACAAACACTTGTACACAGACACAGGGAGAACATGCAAACTCCACACAGAAAGGACCCATCTGTCTTTGTTCAGGTTTATTTCCTCTTTTTGTCGTTATCTCAGTTTCTTCATGGACTTTACAAAACCGTCGATTCTCCAACAACAGATCAGAGAATCAAACATTTCAAACACAAGACACAGACACTGGTCCATACCTCAGACTGTAGACCCAGGACTGAGGCTGTAGACCCAGGACTGAGGCTGTAGACCCAGGACTGAGGCTGTAGACCCAGGACTGAGACTGTAGACCCAGGACTGAGGCTGTAGACCCAGGACTGAGGCTGTAGACCCAGGACTGAGGCTGTAGACCCAGGACTGAGGCTGTAGACCCAGGACTGAGGCTGTAGACCCAGGACTGAGGCTGTAGACCCAGGACTGAGACTGTAGACCCAGGACTGAGACTGTAGACCCAGGACTGAGGCTGTAGACCCAGGGTTGAGGCTGTAGACCCAGGACTGAGGCTGTAGACCCAGGATTGAGGCTGTAGACCCAGGACTGAGGCTGTAGACCCAGGACTGAGGCTGTAGACCCAGGATTGAGGCTGTAGACCCAGGACTGAGGCTGTAGACCCAGGACTGAGGCTGTAGACCCAGGACTGAGGCTGTAGACCCAGGATTGAGGCTGTAGACCCAGGACTGAGGCTGTAGACCCAGGACTGAGGCTGTAGACCCAGGACTGAGGCTGTAGATCCAGGACGGAGGCTGTGGGTCCAGGACTGAGGCTGTAGACCCAGGATTGAGGCTGTAGACCCAGGACTGAGGCTGTAGACCCAGAACTGAGGCTGTAGACCCAGGACTGAGGCTGTAGACCCAGGACTGAGGCTGTAGACCCAGGATTGAGGATGTAGACCCAGGACTGAGGCTGTAGACCCAGGACTGAGGCTGTAGATCCAGGACTGAGGCAGCTCCCAGGCGGGGAGAGGGTGCATCCCAGGAGTTCGGGCCCAGCAGGACAGTCTGCAGGTGCAGATGGAGGAGGCCGGGCTCAGGGTCCTATCATCACATCCTGAAACAGAAAGTGGGACAGCGGGTGAATAGCAATGAACAGACTACAGCTGAAGTCATGATGAGGACAGATAAAGAAGACCACAGTGACTCCATATCCAGCCTGACTGACATCACTCTAAGTCTTCTCTGAATGGATTGATAAAGTTCGGACGGCCTCTCTCTCCATTGGCCTCAACACAATCATTACAGAGTTTCTACAGCGTCTGTCTGTGTCTCCCTGAACAGTCTCCTCCAACAGTCTCCAACCGTCTCCTCCAACAGTCTCCTCCAACAGTCTCCTCCAACAGTCTCCTCCAACAGTCTCCAACCGTCTCCTCCAACAGTCTCCTCCAACCGTCTCCTCCAACCGTCTCCTCCAACCGTCTCCTCCAACAGTCTCCAACAGTCACCTCCAACAGTCTCCTCCAACCGTCTCCTCCAAAAGTCTCCTCCAACAGTCTCCTCCAACAGTCTCCTCCAACAGTCTCCTCCAACAGTCTCCTCCAACCGTCTCCTCCAACAGTCTCCTCCAACAGTCTCCTCCAACAGTCTCCTCCAACCGTCTCCTCCAACAGTCTCCAACAGTCACCTCCAACAGTCTCCTCCAACCGTCTCCTCCAAAAGTCTCCTCCAACAGTCTCCTCCAACAGTCTCCTCCAACAGTCTCCTCCAACAGTCTCCTCCAACCGTCTCCTCCAACAGTCTCCTCCAACAGTCTCCTCCAACAGTCTCCTCCGACAGTCTCCTCCGACAGTCTCCTCCAACCGTCTCCTCCAACAGTCTCCTCCAACAGTCTCCCTGAACAGTCTCCTCCAACAGTCTCCTCCAACAGTCTCCTCCAACAGTCTCCTCCGACAGTCTCCTCCAACCGTCTCCTCCGACAGTCTCCTCCAACCGTCTCCTCCAACAGTCTCCTCCAACAGTCTCCTCCAACAGTCTCCTCCAACAGTCTCCTCCAACCGTCTCCTCCAACAGTCTCCTCCAACCATCTCCTCCAACAGTCTCCTCCAACAGTCTCCTCCAACAGTCTCCTCCAACTGTCTCCTCCAACAGTCTCCTCCAACCGTCTCCTCCAACAGTCTCCTCCAACTGTCTCCTCCAACAGTCTCCTCCAACAGTCTCCTCCAACAGTCTCCTCCAACCGTCTCCTCCAACCGTCTCCTCCAACCGTCTCCTCCAACAGTCTCCTCCAACCGTCTCTCCTCCAACCGTCTCCTCCAACAGTCTCCTCCAACAGTCTCCTCCAACAGTCTCCTCCAACAGTCTCCTCCAACCGTCTCCTCCAACCGTCTCCTCCAACAGTCTCCTCCAACAGTCTCCTCCAACAGTCTCCTCCAACCATCTCCTCCAACAGTCTCCTCCAACAGTCTCCTCCAACAGTCTCCTCCAACTGTCTCCTCCAACAGTCTCCTCCAACCGTCTCCTCCAACAGTCTCCTCCAACTGTCTCCTCCAACAGTCTCCTCCAACAGTCTCCTCCAACAGTCTCCTCCAACCGTCTCCTCCAACCGTCTCCTCCAACAGTCTCCTCCAACAGTCTCCTCCAACAGTCTCCTCCAACAGTCTCCTCCAACAGGAACCACAGTTTTACAGATGAACCAACAGAAACACGTCACCATCAGTAGAGTTCTGTCAGACACATGAAGTCAGCGGCTCCAGACTCAGAAGGTCCAGCTCTTGGTGCAAGTGCCAGCAGGAGGCCAGTCCCTGTGCTCCTCAGAGTCCCAGCAGGAGGCCAGTCCCTGTGCTCCTCAGAGTCCCAGCAGGAGGCCAGTCCCTGTGCTCCTCAGAGTCCCAGCAGGAGGCCAGTCCCTGTGCTCCTCAGAGTCCCAGCAGGAGGCCAGTCCCTGTGCTCCTCAGAGTCCCAGCAGGAGTCCAGTCCCTGTGCTCCTCCGAGTCCCAGCAGGAGTCCAGTCCCTGTGCTCCTCCGAGTCCCAGCAGGAGGCCAGTCCCTGTGCTCCTCCGAGTCCCAGCAGGAGGCCAGTCCCTGTGCTCCTCCGAGTCCCAGCAGGAGGCCAATCCCTGTGCTCCTCCGAGTCCCAGCAGGAGGCCAGTCCCTGTGCTCCTCAGAGTCCCAGCAGGAGGCCAGTCCCTGTGCTCCTCCGAGTCCCAGCAGGAGGCCAGTCCCTGTGCTCCTCAGAGTCCCAGCAGGAGGCCAGTCCCTGTGCTCCTCCGAGTCCCAGCAGGAGGCCAGTCCCTGTGCTCCTCCGAGTCCCAGCAGGAGGCCAGTCCCTGTGCTCCTCCGAGTCCCAGCAGAGGATTCCACAGATGTACTTTGGTGTGAGGCCATGGAGAGTTCAATCTGGAGAGACCAAGGAAGACACATTAAAGACCTTATGACGGGTTTAAAAAAAAAAAATAGTGGATATCAAAAATCTGTCAATCTGAAAGAGATTCCGGCAAAAAAAATCCTATATTTTATAAAAAGAAGGTGTTTTTCATGAATTTAAGTTGTCTATGCTCTAACCTGTGTGTGACGTCACAGCGGGTAACGCCCATGCATTGAAAACCATGGATCTATGCCACAGGACTGCCTTTCTCTCTTCTCTCCACTGATGCCCAACACAATACTGCCCTCTACAGGTGACAATTGCTCACTACACATAAATTGCCGTTTTGAGAGTGAAAAAGTGTCTGAGGTGGGATTTGAACCCAAGTATCTGGATTGGCAGTCCATCGACACAACCACTGGACTATCTCAGTGACAACAAAGAGTTATAATCTAGTATTTATGTCAGACTCTCTGTACACGGCCTTGTCATCTTGAATATCCACGAAAAAAGCAAGAGCTTCAAGAAGCTCTGGTTAGTGGGAAGTGGCTGCTTTTAAAATGCTTGCTTTGCTGTCAATAGGTTTACAAGGAGGCTGGCCGAGCTGTGTGATTGGCTGAAGCTGGCCGAGCTGTGTGATTGGCTGAGGCTGGCCGAGCTGTGTGATTGGCTGAGGCTCGAGGCTGGCCCTGGATGTGGTGAGAGCTGCAGCATGAGGTCTTCCCAGTCTGAAATTGCGCTTAAGCTTCATACGTGTAACAAACAGAGCTGCATTGAATGATACATGTAAATAATGTGGTCCCATGTCCTGACTCTGACTCACAGTAATGTGGTCCCATGTCCTGACTCTAACTCACAGTAATGAGGTCCCATGTCCTGACTCTA